GTATAAGTTACCCAGTTGAGGGAGAGAAAGAAAGGGTTATCTGGTGTCACTGGGGAGGAAATCATTTTCCTGGCAGAAAATGTTTCCTAAGGCCCTGTAGCTGAAGGAGGTATTGAATGTTATTTCCTATGGTGATTTGTTGGTTAAGCTGATTGTGTCAACTTGACTGGCTTTGGGGTCTACCTGGGGGACTGGTGGGGCATATTTCTGGTGTGTTCGTGTGGGTCCTGGAAGCTTGACTTTATCCTGACCCCTTGTGCTCACGCTGCTCCCCTGCTCTGCTCTGCCATGTCATTCCATCATTTCTTCCACCATTTCTGCCTTGGAGCTAGCCAAACATGGACTGAATCCTCTGAAACCTGAACCAAATTAAACCTCTCCTCCTTTAAATTGTGAGTATCAGTGTACTGGATCCTAGCAATAGGTAAACTGACTAATACAGGGTTGCTGTGAGAAAAATGAAACACTGTCTGCAAGAGATGTAGTAATAATAACAATATATGCTGTGCACCATATTCTACATATCAGGCATGTCAATAAATTTACTTCTTACAACAATTTTATGAGATTAGTGATATTTCATCTATAGAGAGGATGAAACAACATGCTCATTATGAGAGAGCCATGAAGGATCAAAACTATAACACAACCCAGACAAGACTGATAATTTTGATGGCTCTTTTTTATCGTCAGGCCAACTTGCCAATGAATATTTCTTAGAAAAGCAAGTTACAAAAGTCCAGTGTTCTTCTTTCTCATCAAGCATCCAGACTAGAGCAATTATGAAGTGATAAGTTTCAACCCTAGGATAATGTCATTTGTTTAGCTAAAGTTTGCCCAGGAATGAAGTTATATCACAACTATTATTTTTGGCTGTAGTAAAAAACAATGTGACTAGAGAAACACTTTACTTAAGGATGGAATCAGTTTTAAAATACTATTATAAGGATACTGTATATTAATGGAATTGTCCTGCTTGTGCCTACCCAGACTCTTTCCCACCTGTTTCCATAACAGGTTTTTCTTTAAGGAGTCAACCCTTCCCAACTCTTCCTATGGTAAATTGCAGAGCTTGTCATCCACATATGACCTGACTGAAGAGAATGAGAGATGGGTTCATAGTTGAGGATGTGAACCAACTGAGTTACTGATATTTAGACTGGTACTTCTAGTATAAATAATAATGAGGTACTTGGATCAGGAGCCTGGAGCTGCTGGTGGGAAGAAAGCAGAGCCCAGGGGTGGAAAGAGAAAAAATTCTAAATTATATCACTCAGACTTCATTATATCACTCAGACTTTATGGATCCTCTGGGTCATCTAAATGTGTGTGTGTGTGTGTGTGTGTGTGTGTGTGTGTGTGTGTGTGTGTGTGTAATTTTAAAAATATTTTCAGCTTTATTCAGTTTGACAGGGAGTTTGGTGCTATAATACAATGTCTTGAGTAACATAATTATGAAAGTTTATTAAAATTGAAAGCTTATAATATTAAATTATCTTTCACCAAGTCCTATATGCACTTTAGGGTATCATTGTAAAAGACTAGTTTATAGCAGGAGTTTTTATCCAAATGAAAACAGGATTATTTTTAAGGTTATCAAAGCACCAGAGCTTCTTCACATCTGATAGTAAGAAAGAGTACATGCAAGACTCCAGAAAAACAGACAACTAACTTTGGTTTGTGCAGGGAACCCTGAAAATCTTGTTAGAAAGGTTGATTGGAAGGCTGCACCCTGAAATTCCACAGCATGCTTGTGAACCTGAATGTCTCACAAACATCACAGGGGCACTGAGAGTCCACATTAAGAAACACTACTCCAGAGTTAGAATTTCTTTTAGATGTTGTAGACAAATTTAGAGTATGCAAATCCAGTGGGGGAAGTAATCCTCACAAATCAATGAAATGGGAAAATTTCCACGATGATTTTGAGAACTAAAATGACTTCAAAGAGCATATTGGAGTGTAAGCACTAATTCTGAAGCAAACATGGGCAAATTTGGAAATGCCTCATCTCTAAAATCGGAAGAATATAGGCATTGTATTTGTTTCTATCTGTGGGTGTTTTCTATGAAAAAGGAAGTGGTATAGAACAAAAATAACAATTTAAAAATTAATTTCAAAATCATGATTTCATCAATTTCATTAGAATAAACTGCAGCAACTTGGTAGTAGATCACAGCGCACAGTCAACAAAGATGACCTTTGAGAATTCATCTCAGTTTTTAACAGAGCAGCCATAATGAACACAATTATAATAATTGGTAAGAAGCTTTTGCAGCACTCCATAGCACACAAAAGACAGCACAGCAAACTGGAATAGCTTGTTTTCTCAAGATACCACATGAGTTTCACAAAGGAATCTGTGTTAACTGTAATGTATAAGGAGATGACACAGAAATCATTTGATGCCACATCAGACACCACAGAAGTAAGAAAACCATTTTCTAATGTGATCCCATTGTTGTCTCTGTTAAGGTCATTGGGTAAATAATAGTCAGTGATGTCACTAAATCACATAAACTTGACCAGTGCTTATGAACATGAGTTGGCCAAGAGAACTGAGCCTAGATATTATAAAGCATCTATTGTATTTACTAGATCAACACTCCTATTCATGTAGAATGTCATTAGCTCTACACCAGCCTTAGAGAACTGAGAAAGTATTTCTCAAATCATTTTCTATAGAGCTTAGTTGCCTCGAAAAGCCCAGGTTAGTAAGGACAATAGACACTTCTTAACCTGAAAGAAAATATTGTAGGATAAATAGTTGTAATTTTAAAAATTATAAGCAAAGTGGCCTGGCAATATTGTGAGTGGTTTTCTAAACAATTTAAAACCTCACTAGTAGAACCAGAAACTAGAAGAGTAATATTCAAGGTTTGCAATTAAAAGTTTGTGTATCAAAAACAACTTTATGCACTAAGATTAACGATGCCAGTGGGACTTAACTGTAGTTCTACAGAACCACACAACAGAACTTAATCTACAGCATGGATTTCTTGGGCTGCATCCACAACCACTAGTTGTCAAACTGCCAAATGCATTTCATTATGTGTAGATCTGATTCAGTCCAAGGAAAATACAGTAGTATGATAAGCAGAATTGAAAAACATTCTGATTTGTTCTGTGCCTGGAACTTTGTAAAAAGTTATAAATATATAATGGGTTTCTAGATGGAGGCTGTTAGGACCTGATTTTGATTTTTGTGACAGACTCTGCTATTTTACTATCCCTTTAATCCCTTCTATTCTGACTTAAAGATCCCTCCCCCCTTTTTTTAAAGAAAGGATCTGACTTGGTCACTAAGCTGCCTAGACTGGGTTTGAACTTGTGATGCTCCTGGCTCAGCCTCTCAGAGTGTTACGATTAGAGGAATGCACCATCATACCCTCTAGAATCTGTATTTTTAACCAAACACATTGGTAATATTTAACACTACATCTCCTAGCCTCTCTTGTGGCTAGATATAGTCAATGAAGGCAGGAGAGATGCTATAAGCAAGTAGAAAAGATTGCACTGGAAAAGACACTTCCTATATTTTTTTCTTCACTCTTCTTTTTCTTTTCTTTGTCTGTCATAGAGTGTGATCAAAAGCTCATCTTGAACCATGAAGGGACCTTCAGTAGGGCGATAGTATGTTAGATGACAGGGCAGAACAACAAAAACATCATCTTCTCATCACATTGTTGCCATACATCCCTAAAATGCAAAATTCTAGAGAAAGCAAAATACATCTACCATGTTTAACCTTGTTGCAAGTGGCAGAGTTTAGCCCTATTTAACATAATACACACACAGTTTCTTACTCAGTAAAGGTCAGGTGAATTAGTAGACTATTTGGGATTAAATATTTGAACTGGCCTGCAACCTCTGCAACTGGAGTACTGTATTTAAGACAAATAAAAAGTAGAACTTTATCTGAATGGTAACAAACATATAGAAAAATATTTTACTTTTGTTAATTCTATAAAACTTTAAAAATATGTTAAAGAGGAATTCAGAACAACAACAAGGAAAGAAAGTTAGTACAATGCGTGGTACAATAAAAATTAGTAAAATTGATACTATGGTTGATAACTACTAGAGAACATATATTTATCAAAGGTAATGAATTGGGCCTGAAAAGTATGACTTGATGTCTAACAAAGAGACTTATTGTGTGTCTTTCTTATTTGGGTCCTGGTTCGTGATACCTCTGTGTGATTCATTCATTCTGTCTATTTATGTTTGGTTCTATCCTTCTGGGCCAAAGGGAGACTTTGGTCTTTTAGCTTTCACGTAGAGTAGACAGACATCTTAGAAAAATCCCCAGAACAATAGAAAATAATTAGCATGCTTTTGCTGTCCAGTGAATTCTTTCAAGTCTGTTTTTTGCTCTGTACTCTTGAAAAGGCATTAAAATATTTTAAATAGATCTAGCAAAAGGATTGAAAGCATTAGATTGTATTTAAGCCTATTGCTTAGATTGCTTTTGATCATCGAGGCAGAAATTTTGTTTCAATGTTGCTCTGTAACAAATTAAAATTTTGTGGCTATGTAATTATTTAGCTACAAATATTTTGTTTTGGAAAATACTCATGTTACATATCCTACTAGGATTTTGGAACTATCCAAGCTATGTCTACTCCAGTGTTAGGTAGACCTTTGGGGAAACTCTTAAGACCTATCTCTTCCGTGTAATCTGAGTATTATTCTTTTAATACCTTGAAATCCTTGTTCTGTCTTCATATGCAAATATCTATGGTTATGTTTATGTAAATTACCAGCACACATTATTCATTCTAACTATCTAATGCAGTGTGGAGGTAGTGAATTTAATTACAGTGATTTATCCATAGTCTCCTTGGTCAGCGATTGCATATTCTTTTTATGTGAAGCTCAAGTGCGAATAGAGCTTAAATATGTAAGAAGATTATTTTTCTGAAAAACATTTTTTCTATCACTAACTTCTTTGTTACAAATATATAAGTATTGAAATTTTAAGAATAAAGATACATTACCCCTGTGACATCCATAACCTTAATAGCTGCAAGCTGGCCTGTTTTGACATGACGACCCTATAAAGAAAAAAAAAACAATTAAAAAAGACTTAGTCCTGATACATGATATTAGCATTCAGTTTCAAGCATAAAAAAAAACAATTGGTCAATGTTATAGATCATAGCTCAATGTTATTATACATTAATGGGGAAACACATATTCACATTCATAGATCTTCACATGTTGAAGATCCATTTCTAGACTGTTTATTTTGCAAAATATTCCTCATCACTTTGTTTTTGGGGTTTATTTTCACAGTGGGTGTCCAGTTAAGTAAAAATTGCAATGCTGAACAATCTATTTCTACTCTTCTCTGGGGTGTTAGTAAAAGGTTTGTATGAAAGGTGGAGTTATGTGGAAGAGAAACCAAGACCCGATGGAACAGATGTAAGTACCTATTAGAAAACACTCAGTATGTGAAGAAGCTTCTGTTTTCCTGATTCTTCAAGTATTTGGAAAATAATTCAAAATCAACTGAATATAATTCATCCACAACTCACTTCAATTTATTTATTTATTTTTATCTTAAAATAACCTGAACTAGGCTGATAGCCATCAGCCCAAACAGCAGTCAAGAAATAGTGCTGAGCTTCAGCAACTGTTTCTCCCAGGTGGACATCAGCCTTGGGAACTGCAAAACAGCAGCACCCACAAAGAAGAATCCAGAAGCAAACAGGTCATAATCTCAGAAGAGTTTTCTCTTTGCTTGTTCCTTGAGAAAACATAGTGTATAAATAAGGACTAAAAGGTAGAATAGAAAATGTAAAATAGGAAGAGGAGGGAAAAGGGGGAAGGGGAAATGGGAGGGGTTGGGGAAAGGAAAGAAGGGAATTGAATTAATATGAGAAAACAGTCTTTGTAGATAGAGAGGCAAGGAGGTATTGAAGGGAGGACAGGGGAATGGGGAAAATTAAGAACCAAGATTAATTATGTAAAGGTACAAATTTCCAACAATGAATGTCATTATATGTGTACATTAAATGCAACAACAAATTAATTTTTAAAAAAGAAAACATGCTGGGGATTTAGCTCAGCATTTCTGCCACCTGCCTTGCAAGTGCAAGGACCTGAGTTTAATCCCCGGTACCAAAAAAAAAAAAAAAAAAAAAAAAAAAAAAAAAAAAGAAAACATAATGTGTACCTCAGACTCTCAGATAACAGCAGATGTGACAGAACCCATTACTCCCAGATGCATTTTTTTATATAGTGACCCCCAAAATATTTTGCCTACCATAGATTAAGTGTCCCTTACTTGGAATGCTGGAGACTAGCAATTTTCAGGTTTTGAATTTTTTCATACTCTGGAATATTTGGATACACATAATGAGAAATCTTGGAGATGAGACCCAAGTCTAAATCACTTGTTTTCTACACATATCCTGAAGACTATTTTATACAACACATTTAGTGTGCCTGTGTTTTAACTGTGAGCCACATGAAGTCATATGTGGAGTCTACTTGTGCATCATGTTAGAGCTGAAAAATCTTCAGACTCTGGAGCATTTTAGATTTCAGATTTTATACTAGGAATAATCGATCTATAGTGCTATCAGGCAGTATAGCAGAGTTTCTAGATCAGCTAGATTCGGATCACAGCTGAAAGACCTAACCCAGCCCTCTTAGCTTTTTAAGTCTCAGTTTCTTCATCTGAAAAAATAGAGATAATAATACACAGCTTACAGAACTTCAGTGAGGATGAAATGAGAGATGCTGGCATACATAGTGTTCCTGGCATACTTTAGCTGCCAGTGGATGATGGATATAATTATTGATAGTCCTATCTTGTGAATTATTTTAAACATCATCTTCCCTATGAGGTCGCGTTTTATGAAGGCGAGGACCATGCCTCACTGTTGTACTTCCAAGGCCCGAGGTGAGCGCCTGCCGATTGGTGACAGGTGTGGCATGTTACAGCAGGGAGTTGGGGCTGTTGTCAACACTTGTGGTTGGGAAAAGGTGATTGGTTTGATGTGATTTAAGTTCTATAATGAAGTAAAAGAAAACATGCTAACTCGGTTGGGTCATTTTTAAAAACTGTAGTAAAAAGCACTACTGAGCTAATTTTATAATTGAGAACTATAGTATCTTCATGTTCTTAAATCTTTCTCCTTTCTCTTCTACTTCCCTACCACCTTAATTTTACTCTCTCAACTGGCTCCTTATTTTTCCCCCCTTCTTACATATCCCAGCTTTTAAAATCTTTCTGATCTGGTTCTAGTAGTGCTCCCTTCCCCTTTCAGCCCTCACTGTGGTCCCTTTCTTTCCCCGACTTGTAAAAGGGCCCAAAGGAGACATTGCATCAGTAATACAATATGGTGTCAGGCATAGCCCTTCACTCTTTCCTCAAATTTCACAAAAATTGAGGTAAGGGGTTGGTATAAATCATGGAAGTGCAGAGAACTGTGCAGGCTTTGTCTTTGACCACCAGCTTTGTTTGCCCTCATTCTCCTGTCTGCAAAATGTGGGGAGACTGTTGGGGGAGAGGAGAGTAGCAGCTCTTTCCATTCCAAGGAGCATTGGGAAATGTAATTTTCAAAATGCCTGATGAAGAGAGAAGTGTTACTGCTATTTAGCACAGGAACCAGGAACATAAACTTTCCTGCAACGCACAGGGCAACCTCACGCATGGAAGAAGTACAACACTCTCTGTTGAGAAGCACCAATGACCTCCAGGGTCTCTGACATCCCAGTAATTTTCTGTGATGCTGTGATGACCTTTGCAAAGGAATTCATGGATTACTTTAAAATAACAGCAATAAACCAGAACTCAAACAATAACTGTCGCTCTATGAAAGCGTCAAGAAAGATAGTAGAGGAACCTCAGTCTAACAAGGGGTCTGTTTGACATTATTAAACTGATCTCCCTTGAGATTCTCTGAATGGAGCTATAGGGCTGGATAGAAGCAAGCTCCTGCGTGTGGTTTGTAGGACCCTCTAAGGGCTGACCTCCCCTCTGCCTTGCTACCTAGAGGCTCCCACTTGCTGTCATTCTATGGTTCTCAAGCCTAACTGTTAGCACTGCTCCAAATGTACTGTATTGTTTCTACCCTCTCTGATGGTCTGTTTTCTTGATCTAGGGTGCCCTTTGCCTTCCTGGCTCCCAAATAAATGTATTCTCTTTTTCTATAGTCAACTTAACTATCACTTGTCTGATATCTTTATGTCAAACACTGCTCACTTCTGAGCAACCAAGGAACATGTCCTTGTTCTTATACTTGCACTGAGCTCAAACACTCCTTTTCTTCCCCTCTGGCTTCCTGGGCAGTAGAACCTTTTCCCCAAATCAAGCCTTAAGTGGAACTCCCCAGGGCAAAGCAGGGGCTAGATCAGACAGTCTAGTCATTTGGCCTCCCACTCACCTCTGCCACTACACACTTTGGGAAACTTTACACTCACTTTGTAACTCTTTACAAAGTAAAGACTCTTCTCTGACTGAACAATTTGTTGCAGAATCGCCCAGCACCTAGTCATTTCCATCTCCAGCCTAGGATTGAGTAGGGCTGGTCTTCAGGGGAGTGAGGAGGAGAAAAGCATCCATGTTATGCTTTCAACACAAGCACTGGGCAGTTCTTGTTTTGAAGTCAGTAATTACGTGGTATATGTTTGGACGAATCTGCTAAAATGAAGCCCATTAATCTGTATAACCATTTTTTTTAAATGGTGAAATAAAAGAAATGTGAAAAGATCTGTTTTTTTTGTTTTGTTTTGTTTTTGTTTTTGTTTTTTGGTACGGGGGATTGAACTCAGGTCCTTGTGCTTGCCAGGCAAAAAGATCTGTTTTTTCTTTCTTTCTTTCTTTTCCTTTTTTAGGGTTTATGATTTTAAAAATTTTACTAAACACTATTAATATGGAAAAGGAAATCAACTCTTTTTGCACCATTTTAAATTTCACTTCCCAGCTGAAATAATGGCTCTGACAGACGAGTGAATGCAGAGCCCTGAGGTGGCCATTTGGGTTAAATGAGATCCTGCAGGTGGAACAATGAACGAGCAGGCTCAGCTCAGTCTCCTGCCACGAGGTTTCCCCACACTCTGAATCAGAAGTGCTGCTGAGCTGTCGGTGTCTCATCACCAAAGAGAACTGCAGAAGACCCTGCCCAGCACTGGCTGCCTTTTAACACCGCCAGAGAACACCAAGCCGAGTCAGGAGCCAGATCAAGGCAGAGCTGAAGGGAATCACAAGATCATGAGACACCTGAGGCACTTCATGGTTAAGATAGTTTTGAAAGAGTTAACTTTAATACAAACACAAAGGAATCCAGTGGAACAGTCCCCATGGTTCCTACCAAGCCTCCCCTTTGAGAAGCGAGGCTTAAATTTCAGAGCTAACGAGACCCACACCCCATGTTCTCCTCTCTCTTCTTTCTGCCAGCCAGCTCCTGAACTACATACTTCATCACTAAAATTTTAAAATGATTTTTAAAGAAATGTTCTCATGTTTTACTTAAGTTATACATTAAACTGCTCATCTCTGTTTCACATACAATGTTTAGAAACTTTAAAAACATGGGTACAGGGTAATGAGCAAGGAGGTTATTATCACAGGGGCACACTGAAGGGCAATTGTCACATTCTTCCCAATATTTCCACATATAAGAGAATTTAAAAATGCAAACAAGGACATTTTCTAAATTTAAATCTAAGATGCATATTCAAACCCAGGATTAAAAATTAAAATATGAAAATAATAGAACTTCTAAAGAGAGACAAAAGAGGATTTTTAAATCTCTACAAAAAAAATAGAGGAAATGTCAGATTAGAGTTACTGAGTCATTCCTTAATGAAAGTATAATTTAGGATTTTCTTCCTGCAGAAATAACCAACATGAACAAAAGTTAGTGCACAGACTAAAGAAGACAATTGACCCAAAGCCTGATGTCACATAATGTCCTAAAGCATAAACCGTCTGTCTAGGAGAAAGGAGAAAGAAAAACACGAAGGGGGAACACAGAGAATTTGGCATCAATGGTGGTGGGGGTGTGGGTCAGGCACATTTCCTAATCCTGCTTCTTTTCTT